TAAAAGTTTAGCTCCAAGAATAGACGTTAATCAAGATATTGTTTTTGTGTTTCAACTAAGATGTTTTAATATTTCAATATACCACAATGTGTTTTTCGAGAAAAATGAATTTTGAGGTGCTTGAAAAGAAACTATATGCAACTGCTCACAGCCAGAAATTTACTCAGGATGCTAAAGAATATAGATCTTGGGGGCAGAAAGATAGTGCAACGGATAAGATGCTTCCCTTGCATGTGGCCAACTTGGACTTTTTATCCTCAGAATCCCAAATGGCCCCCTGAGCATGGCCAGGAGTAATTTCTGAGTACAGAGAGGAGAAATCCCTGAGCATCGCCAGGTATGGCCCACAAACAAACAAGAAAGCCTAGATCTTGTCAGCAACAATTAACGTCCAGTTTCCTGTTTTACACTAGACCGATCCAGGTCTTGACTGCAATGAAAGGCTCTGAGCGGTAGAAGAGTGGAAATAGCACTGCTGCATGGGGCAGCCATTGCTGGCCTCTGGCTCAAGGCATACTGGAGTTTCAGGAGTGAGGTGCTCACTGGGATCCATGCAGCACCTGAGATCTTGGGAACTCGGGTTCATCCCTGTTCCAACAGATTCATCCTCTCCGCACAGAGGGACTAACCCCATCAGAGGCCCTGAAATGCTTCCTGCTTCACAGAGATGTGAACTCAGGGGTTGAGGACCCAGAGATGAAGTGAGCTCCCGGATAGTGTGAACTTGCCCGTGAAGCACAATTCATGCGTTGCCTTCTCTTCATTTCAGATCATTTGAGAGGCAGAAATTATGTAGGTTAATCCAAAGTTAACACGGCTGTCAGCATTTTCTTGCTTTCCTGGCTGAACTGATCCCTCCCACACAACCGTGTCTGCTGAATTTACAGTTCCAAACTACATCCAAAGTTTTCTGTTGTTGCGATTTTCCAAGTCTGGTGAAATTCAATGTCATGAACCAGAGGTTAAAATTCTGCTCTAAGTATATTGGTTGCGTATCTAGTACTACATTGTTTGGATCTTGATGGTTAGAAAAATAAAAAATAAATACATCACTGAGATTTTAATATGCCACTATTCTTTCTCAATTTCTCTGTATATGAACGGAGAAAGTATCCTCGAAGGTTTCATTTATGTCTTTATAACCTGGGTTGACCAAATGTTAATGTTTACAATATTAAAAATGTGTACTTATCTCAATACCACCCCAAACACTGGGTAGCACTAAAATTTAACGACAACCCAATTCACCCAAGAAAAAACTAAATTTCATGAAGCCAAAATAAAATCTCTTCTATTAAAAAATGTTTCATTTAATCCCTAAACAGTGACTAATGGTAGTAAAGGCTCACCCAGGTGTGTATTTTGACTGTTCCCCCAAAATACCTAAAAGTTTTAATTAAAATAAGGAGTCATATGCACTCATTTGTGGAGTATAAAGTAACAGGATGGGAGACTTACACCCAAGAATAGTAGAAATGAGTACCAGGAGGATTGCTCCAGAGGCTGAAAGCCGGCCTCACATGTTGGGGAAAAAACAGCTAAGATAGAGAAGGAACAATCAGGTAAAAGGTGCTTGGAGGGACCGCCTGGAATGGGAGATGCGTGCTGAAAGTAGACTATAGGCCAAACATGATGACCACTTAATACCTATTTTGCAAACCACAACACCCAAAAGGAGAAAGAGAGCAAAAAGAAATGCCTTGCCACGGAGGTGGGGTGGGGGGAGGGATATTGGGAGCATTGGTGGTGGAGAATGGGCACTGGTGGAGGGATGGGACCTGATCACTGTATGACTGAAACTTAAGCACGAAAGTTTGTAAGTCTGTAACTGTACCTCAAGGTGATTCATTAAAAAAAATAATAATACAAAAAAGAGACACAAAGACAATGACTATAAAGCTTCCACTGATCACATTCATCTGCAAGTAACCATGGCAGTTGATATTAGTAACCATCTGCAAGTAATGCATGGCGGTTAATATTAGCAACCATATAAATATCCTCCATCATCCACTGAATCTGCTCTTACCTTCGCCACTCTCTGCCCCGAAGCTCTTGGACATGCTCGGACATTAACATTCTCTAGTAACATTCTGGAAATTCCTCTGCTGCTTTTCTTACCAAAAACAGTAGTTAGGTGGTTAGTGTGTTTGCACAGGTTTTGTGTGCTAGGTGTTTCCAAGCACTTGACTTCAAATTTGTTTCACCACAGAAATAAAAACCCAAAGTGCCAAAAGATGATCATAGACACGAATTGAACCTGAGGCATACGATTTGCCTAATAATAGGTCTCAACCAGTTCCTCTTCTCCAGCGTTACCCACTGGCAATAGCTTCAGACCAGTCAAAAGTAGTTGCAGTGTTTCCTCCTTTTAATCATGCGTAAGATTGAAGAACCCATGACAGCCGTCCTTCTTCTCTTTCTCATTCCATGTTCCTTGGTGAAATTAATTTGTGTCCTGGCCCATCACAAGTTCCCTAGAAAATTTCCTATGTCGTATTCATTACTTCAAGGGATCATCACCAAATCCTACTCACTTCAAAAATCTAGCACTTAACTGATTCAAACGTGAGAAATCTTTGCGGATAGTGTTTCAAGTTTTTTCTTGAGATTTTGACTTCTCATATCTAATTGAAAAAGAAAAAGTCACGAAACCAAAACACGAGAAACAATTCCACTTACTGTTTGTTCAGTTGTTTGGGGACCATCCTCAGTTGTGTTGGGGCTCCGGCAAGGTAGTTTGGTGTAGGGATCAAACTAGAGCCCCAGCATGCCACACAGGTGCTCCAAACCCAATAAACACTCCCTCCTTTTGCATCACCAGGATGCAGTACAAGGGTACTCCCGACCCTTTCCCAACTGGGTTTGGGGATGTATCGTGCCTGTTGGCACGTACCCATCAATCATATAAAACTGTCAGAACGATATACCCGAACATTTCCAAAGTGAAAGAGGCTTTCCTTGGAGAACATAAAACCTTTGATCTCTTGTGGGTGAAGGAGAGAGGTCAGGGGCTTAGAAGTGACTTAAAGGAGAAAGAGAACAAAAGGGAATGCCCTGCCACAGAGGCAGGGTGGGGTGGGGGGGTGGGAGGGATACTGGGATCACTGGTGGTGGAGAAAGGGCACTGGTGGAGGGATGGGTACTTGATCATTGTAAATAACTGAAACCCAAGCACAAAAATTTGTAAGTCTACAACTGTACCTCATAGGGTTTCACTAATTAAAATTTAAACATAAATAAATAAGAAGTGACTTAAAGGTGAAAAAAAGTCAATTGTGGCCAAACCAGGACAAGGACTAAGCCACCATCGAGGGCAGTTCCACCTCTGCCTTCACCCTGCAGGTCCTCCTGCCCCAGTCAACTACACTTCAGACCCTGTTCCTGGCTCCAGCATGAACAAATAAAGGGTTAAAACTGTGTGATTACCAGTGAGTTCACTCTGTACACATGATGTTTCTAGAGGATCTTATAACTTTTTCCCCCCAACTATTAAGAACAGATCTGTTGTCTTTCTTGATTTAAAAAAATATATATATATTTGCTTTTTGTATGCAAATTGACCACAATTTTATAGGGTACAGCAGTAAAATGCATTGCTTTCAACTTTGCCTCTTCCAAGAATCTTTCTTGACACGGATCCAGTTAATTTTTTAAATAGATAAAGCCCACACACCAAGATGACGATCCTGCCCAGGCTGTCTATCCAAATACCTCCAGGAAATGTCCAACATGGTATTCAGTTCTCCACTGTGAAGAACGCAGGAGCAGTGGAAGAGAAGTGTCAAAGAAAACCAAAAGTCTTTGCTCTTTCGTTTTAATTGTTTAACTTTATTACTGTTGCACCATTTATACAATTACATATAATTTCAATGCATCCATTGTACTTTTTTTTGTGTTTTTTTTTAAATTTTTTCCCCATTTTCCAATGAGTTGGCGTGTTGGTGTCTGTTACACAGAATGGAAGAAGAGAAACTGTAACTGCAATGCACGCAGACTTTTTTTTTTTCATTTCCACTGACCAATAAACAGAACTACAGGTTCACCCAACCACGGACATGCATTAACTCGTCATGAGGAAATCTAGGGAGGCTAAGTAGGATGAGAGAATGTTTGTTACTCCCAAGAAGACCTGGGGGGTGGGGGGGGGGGAAGAATGAAGTATTGGCCTAGAGATACGTGTAGACAAGCTAAGTGGGTCGTCTGAAAGTTGGCATTCATCCACGACATTAAAAAAATATCAAAAGAAGAAAAGCTGTAAATTAAAAAAGGAAAACACCGGAAAAAAAATACTGCTTTCAGAAAGGTCTGATTGCCTTGGCACGAGCCCTGCTGGGGCAGAATCTCACCCCCCGGGCACCCCCAACCACCTCCCCATCCAGGGCGAAGAGAATTCGCATCTGGGTGGGCCGGGGTTCGGGTGATGGTTCGGTGGTTCAGGGGAACCCGAGGTGGGCCGGACTCTCAGACTCGGAGCTTCCAATTCGGGACGGACTGGTCCAGGTGACTGAAGGTATATTAAGATATTTCCGCACAAAAATACTATTATATTGGATTCTCCCCACCCCCTCCCTCCCTCCCAGGATGGGGAAAAAAAAACCTCCTTCTCTTTGAGCGCGTGTGTGTGCATGTGTGTGCATGTGTGTGTGCATGTGTGTGTGTGTGTGTTGTAGGTCGTTTTGTGTTGCTGTTGTTTTTTCTTGGGCAATACATATCATCACTTCCAATGTGAAACAAGTTAGTATAAGCGAGAGAGAGACAGAGACAGACAGAGAGAGGGAGAGAAAGAGAGAGTGGAGAGGGAGAAGGGAGAGAGAGAGCAGGAGAGAGGAGAGAGAGAGAGAGGAGAGGGAAGGAGGGAAGGAGGGAGTGGAGAGGGAGTAAGAGAGAGAGAGAGGGAAGGAGGGAAGGAGGGAAGGAGGGAAGGAGGGAGAAGAGAGAGGGCTGAGTTTGCAGCTGGGCTCCTCGTCCTCGCCGGCGCCCCCCCGGAGCTGTCCTTGCTACTCCTGGACGGCCACGCTCTGCTCGGAGCTGGCGGCGGGGCCCCCGGGGGCCTTGGGCTCGTCGGCGGGGGGCGTCTGCGGGGGCGTCTGCGGGGGCCTGGGCCTTGGGCGTGGGGCTGGGGGCTTCCGACGGGGGCTCCTTGGGGGCGGGCGCGGGCTCGCCGCCGGCTTTCGAGTCCGAGGCGGCGGGGGCCGCGTCGCCGCCGCTGCTGCTGCTTTGGGTCTCGGGCGCGCCGGTGGGCGCGGGGGGCGCCTCAGTCTTGGCGCCGGGGCCCGGCTCGTCGGGCTGGGCCGGGGCGGGCTCTGCCCCCGCTCCGGCCGCCGCAGCCTCGGGCGCGGGCTCGGCCTGCGGCTCCGCGGGCTCCGGCTCGGCCTTGGGCGCGGCCGCGTCTCCCTTGGGCGCGGCGGGCGCGGGGCCCTTGTCGGCCGCCGCTGCCGATGCTGATGCTGATGCTGATGCTGAGGCTGATGCTGATGCTGATGCTGCGGCCGCCGCGGGCTCCTCCGCCTTGGCCGGCTCCGCGGGCTCGGGGCCCGCCGCCGCCTCCTTGGCGCCCTCCTTCACGTCGGCGGCGGGGGGCGCCGCGTTCTCCTTGGGGGTGGCCCCCTCCTCCTCGGCGCCGGCGCCCTCGGCCTTCTTGTCCTTGTCCTTGGCCTTCTCATCGTTCACGTTGTAGCCCTTCTTCTTCTTGCTCAGCTTGCCGCCCATCTCGGGTCCTGCAACGAGACGCGCGGAGAGCGCGCGGAGCGTTACGCACAGGGGCCGCGGGGCCCTGCAGGGGCCGGCTTGGGAGGGGCCCAGCGGGGGTGGGTGGGTGGGTGGGTGGTCGCCGCCCGCCCCCGCCCAGGGCAGCTCCCGGTCAGGTTCGACGCCCCCCCACCCCCGGGCCGCACGCCAGCAGCGCCTGGCCTGGCCACCGCGTGTCCCCCGCATCCCCGACGGCGCAAGGGACTCCACCCGGAACGACGCTGCCACGTGCCCACCCAAGGGTTCCAGAGGCCACTGAGCCAGATGCGCTTCGACTAGGTGCCACTGAGCTCGATGCACTTCGACTAGGTGTCACTGAGCTAGATGCACTTAACTAGGTGACACTGAGCTAGATGCGCTTAAACTAGGTACCACTAAACTGCATGCACTTAGACTAGGTGCCACTGAACTTGACATACTTGGACTAGGTGCCACTGAATTTGATGTACTTAGACCAGGTGCCACTGAACGAGATGCACTTCGACCAGGAGCCACTGAGCTAGATGCACTTAACTAGGTGACACTGAGCTAGATGCACTTAGACTAGGTACCACTAAACTGCATGCACTTAACTAGGTGCCACTGAACTTGACATACTTAGACCAGGTGCCACTGAACTCGATGCACTTAAACTAGGTGCCACTCAACTAGACACACCCAGACTAGGTGCCACTAAACGAGACACACTCAGACTGGGTGTCACTGAACTTGAAGCACTTAGACTAGTTGCCACTGAATGAAATGCACTTAGGTTAGGTGACTGAAAGCTAGATGCGCTTAGAATATATATAAAATATGTAAATACATAAAATTATATTAAATATATTAAAAAATTCCAGAGGCCACTAAACTCAATGCACTTAAAATATATATAAAATATGTAAAAATAAATTATTTAAGTATATTAAATATATTAAAATCCCAGAGGCCACTAACCTAGATGCACTTAGGAAAATCTATTAATATATGTAATAAAACATGAATATATTAAAATATATAAAAATAAAAAATATAAATATATTAAAATATATGAAATACATTAAAAATTCCAGAGGCCACTAAACTAGATGCACTGAAAAATACATACACTTATTTTAAGTTGCATGTATATTGCTACCGTTCTAAATGGAGAAAACAAAATACTAGATGCAAAAAAAAAAAAAGTCAAGACATCAGCCATCAAGTGTCTAATGGCAGTAAATGGGGGAAATGTCACTTTCCAGGCACCACACCTGCAGCTCAAAGATTGCTGAGATCAAAGCGTGCTTAATCAGAGACTGAACGTGTCAACTGTGCAGAGGTGGGGCACTGTTTCTTATCTGCCTTCCGACCAAGCTCTGAACACGTACTTGTGTACCAAGTGGCAAAGGCATCAGATTTTCAACCCATTTGTGCTAGTACACTAGATTAGGACAGCCAGTGTCTCTAGTTACACTAGTACAACTTCTAAAAAACATCATGATCTTTAAAAAAAAAAAAAAAAAGCACAACTGGCTATGGAGGAGGGGGTCACACCCAGAGGTGCTCAGGGCTAACGCCTGGATAACTCACGAGACCCTACGGGGTGCCAGGTATCGTACCAGGGTTGGCTGCATGAAAAGCAAGCGCCCTGCCTGCTGTACTCTCTCTCTGGCCCCTGGACTTCATAACTTTAAGACTTCAGAGAGAGGGTCATATTGCAATAAAGCATGAATTACATTTCCAAATCAAAGCCAAAAACTCATTATTCAAATCTATTTTCATATAAATATATTTATTATTATATTTATTTTCATATAAATATCATATAAAGTGGGCTGGAGCAACAGCACAATGGGCAGGGCATTTGCCCTGCACGAGGCCAACCTGGCTGACTGGGGTTTGATTCCTGTGCCCCTCTCGAAGAGCCTGGCAAGCTACCGAGAGTATCTCACCCGCACGGCAAAGACTGGCAAGCTCCCAGTGGCTCATTCGATATGCCAAACACAGTAACAAGTCTCACAACGGAGACGTTACTGGGCCCGCTCAAGCAAATCGATGAACCACAGGAGGACCGTGCTACAGTGCTATCATATAAAGATGATACAGTTTCAGTGTCTCTATCTCATCATGTGATCTATCTCGTGGAGCAGAATGAGTACAAGATTCTAGCCCCCTGTCCTCCCAGACCCCGTCGACATACATCGAAATGACAACACTATTGTCTCAAACTATACTTAATCGCACTCACTGCAGCTCAAGGTAGTCTCGGATTAAAAGAAATATGCCCATAACATTATTTTGTCTTGATTAAATTCAAACCAGATATGCTAGGTCAGTGAGGGCCGACAGTCATTTTGAAGCAACATCTCCCACTTTCGGATTCCGGCATCAGAATGTCCAACTGTATTTAATTCTAAATGTTCTCCTCTGGTATTTAAAGCAGTCATCCAGATAAATAATGCAAATTTATGAAGAGGAAAACAGTTGTCTCCAGGACTGTCAAAGAATCTGCCTTTCTCCTCCCTTCCCTATATAATTTCAGGGCAGTTTCTAGCCAACCTGCTGAACGACAGCTTTTTAGAGAAAAGTTGGTTGCTTTTTCTTGGCAAAGCAGAGCCTAAGACAGGTTCCAATGAGCACTTTCATACCCACTAATGAGAGGTCCAGGAAACAGGGGGGTCTTGCCCTCGGGCATCATGGAGAGAATCAAGACAGATGAGATGAACCTTCTCAGGCCAGAATTTCCTCTGGGCAGAATTAGGAAGGTCTCCTTGATCAGTTTTCTTTGAGAAAATATCATTCATTTAGAACAGAAAATTCCCTGTTTATTCATTACACTCCTTGGGATCATGATTCACAGAACAGTGAAATAACCTACATTTATCTTATTTAAAAGCAGAGTGTTGAGTAGGAGAACACCATTCTTTAGTCAAAATTTGTCTCACTCTATATGCTAATTTCCAGTCTGGAATGACTTTAATAGTTGGGGGAAATAAAAAGGCAATAATCTGAAAGATGACAAAAATACTGCTATTTTTCGAAGGATAGCTTTACCAAAAGGAAAAAAAATTCTTACATACCAAATTCTTTTTAAAGACTGGCTTTTGATGATAAGACAACTTCACTAAATATCCCACAGGTTCTGTCTGACTTAATTTCTGGTCATTTCTCCCTCAGAAGTGGGAGTGACGATAATAAAATACACACACACACACACACACACACACACACACACACACATCCAATTAGGTATGTGTACCTTGCAAGCAAGCGGTGCCAAAGCAAAAATGAAAGTTTAAAAAAAAAAAGATTGAATCAATATTTCAGAATGTAGTTTATAACTCTTGCACTCAACATGTATGCATAAGTGGTCTTTGTCAAGTGAAATCTTGGCTCTAGTATTTCAAGATACATTTTGGTACATTTAGGTTAGTGCTGAGAAATAGAAAATCAGAGAGAGATGCCTTTATAATGTCCAGATTCCCTAACAGAAGTCCATACACGAACCTGGCAATTACAGACCCGAAGACAGCACATAAACCTGGTCTGTTAGGGAGTTCACATAAGAGCACCCCTGTCTGACGGGGACAGCATGACATTCGAGACTGCCATCCCCAGAGGCTTAATGTCATGTTGGCTTACAAACCTAAAATCTATGTTACTAAAATTGGTTTTCTCAAACTCAGTTAGGACCACTTTGCATTCTTTGTCTTCAAGCCCAGCTGCAAATTGTTTCTGGGTAAGAAATGAATGTACATAATCAAGTTGTAAGAAAGAAGATGTGTCTCCGTTTCTGCTTAACAGTCACCCGTAAAACCCTTCTTTTAGCTAATCTACTTGTGTCATTAATAGCGAGGGATCAGAAAAGGAGCTTATATAGAAGACGGAGAACTCTGGCAAAGCAGAGGAGTGAGATTACTTCCTGAAAAGGTTGGGGGGGGGAATCACACACAATTACAATTTTAAACCTATCAACTATTTCATGGCCACTGCATACAGTCTTTATCCCAAACACATGACTCTGTGACTTTATATATAATCTAAATACTATCAGGAGGGAACATCCATGTTAACACATATGGATAATCTAATTAGCTCAGTACCACTGTAAGAAAAAAACCCCAAGTCCATCAAGATTTGGCAGGATAGGAAGGGACAAGTACTAAGAAACTGGTAATTGGGTGTGGCATTTTTTCATCACAGATATGTTACTCACTTGAGGGAACCAGGCTAATGCAACCCAAATAAATTAGGACTTGTGGTTAGGTAAGCTCTCAACTTCAGATCAATTCTTCACCTCTTCATTTGCCAGTGGAGGGAAGAAAGGAACAAATGAGGAAAGAAGGGAGGGAGGGAGAGAGAGAGGGAGGAAGAGAGGGAAGAAGGATGGGAGGGAGGGAGGAAAGGAAAAAGGGAGGGAGGAAAGGAAAAAGGGAGGGAGGGAGTAAGGAAAAGAGGGAGGGAAGGAGGGAGGGAGGGAGGGAAGGAGGGAGGGAGGGAGGGAGGGAGGGAGGGAGGGAGGGAGGGAGGGAGGAAGGAAGGAAGAAAGAGAGGCAGGGAGGGAAAGAGGTCCTATTCCATAGATCAGTGCTGGCCAGCGGGTGTAGAAAGGTCTTCACCTTGGTTCTAAACACACTGGTCTCTGCCTTGGTTCTAACAGCCTATCTGTGGACCACTGTGCAGAACCAGTGCCAGCCCGCAGGTGTACGGAGGTTGAAGGATGCTGGCTGAGCTCAGAAGCTAACCGGAGGTTCTTCATACAGGAGGCAAAACTGTCTAATACCCCCACCTCCAACTTGACACAACTGAGCTTTTTCTCGTATACAGTGCCTTACCGTTGAACAATAATTTTAAGGGCTAGCTAACGTGTTTTCAATCTCTCCCAACCATCTTGTTCCCACCCACATTATACAATTCAGTCTCTACAGAGCTAAGGATCGATTCGGAGAGGAACAGAACAATTCAAGTTCGACCTTTATGTGACAAAGGCAGAGCAAGCA